GTAGCTGGATATAGGGTGAGTCAAAACTGGATTAGCCAGCTTTCCAGACCATTGGCAACAGTAGTCTGAGTCTGGGGTAAAACCACCAGCACTAAACAGCCAAGTTTTAAGAAGCAGCTGCTTCAGACAGGCATTTGGTATTACGTTTTTGTTTTAACCCAGAGACTTGATACTGATATTTGAAAGATTGGGTATAGCATGTGATGTTTTGGTGGCAGTAGAAGAATTGGTGTTACTGTATTTCTAAAAAGCCTGTGTGGATGAGGTGGCTCAAAACTGTTGTCCTCTTGCAGAACTTCAGAGGAAGGGGGAATAATCGTGGCTACAAAAACCAATCTCAGGGCTACAACCAGTGGCAGCAGGGTGTAAGTAGTAATAACCAAATTTCTTCCTGTTAATTTGACCATCGGATGTTTCAGAATGCTTAGAAATAAATGTGTAACCAACACCAGATAGCAGAATCTTCTAATGCCAAATAATATTATAAATAGTTTTCTCTGCAAAACTTAATCTGGCTTGATATATCGGGTATCAGCTATGGCTTATCGGTCTTAATGGCATGAAGTACTTGGCTGTATGTTACTACTGTGAAGTGAACGTAACCGCCTCCAGTTGTTTTGGAATTTGCTGCTATTTGAGAGGATTTTAATCTCAGGTTCCTGGAGAAGTTAGATATCTGTTTAAAAACTTTTTCTGTGAGGAGTGTGTTATGTGATAACACATTAAATTAACTATTTATCCATTTATTGCAGCAATTCTGGGGTCAGAAGCCATGGAGTCAGCATTATCACCAAGGATATTATTGAATACCCAAATAAATGAACTGATACATATTTCTCCCAAACCTTCACAAGAAGTCGACTGTTTTCTTTAGTAGGCTAACTTTTTAAACATTCCACAAGAGGAAGTGCCTGCGGGTTCCTTTTTTAGAAGCTTTGTGGGTTGATTTTTTTCTTTTCTTTTTTTTGTACATTTTTAATTGCAGTTTTAAAGTGATTCGTAAGAGAACCTCAGCATTGTGCACGATAAGAGAATGTGTCAGTATTTCAGGGTTCTACATTTTATCTGTAAAATGTGACTTTTTTTTTTACCACAACAAAAGTAAAACGTTGCTTTGTACCTGGTGTCTTTTTATTAAAGAATTTTCTCCTTTTTCCCCATTTACCCCAATTTCTAAGAAACAGTCGTGAGTCGTGTCACAATACGATCGAAATATGAGCAACCAGATTCGTGTGGAGGCTCCTTCGTAGCCCTCATGAATATATAATGTAAAGCTCCATATTACACTCCATCCTCTCTATAAAGCTTTTGGGTGGGGAGGAGGGAAGGGGGAGGTGAAAGTTTCTGGCAATAAACTAGGACTTTTTTGTAACATTTGGAATTCAATAAGATGGGGGTGAAGAGGAAACCTGGAGCTAAATAGTGAAGGTGGAGTGTATGTAGAAGCTCTTAAAGTTGTAAAACTTGGTTGCATTACTTGTGGAGGCTCAAACTTGTGAAGGTACACCACCATAATTTCTTTTCCATTTGTTCTGCATTTTGATTCTGAAAAGAAGCTGGCTTTGCCCATTTCTTATTAAACAAAACTTGTTGTAAATCCAGTTGTCTAATGGGATCTATATGAAGTTAGCTGTGTGTCTGTATAACTTCCCCACAAAATACTGTATACCTAGTGTGCTTGTAGTAGTTACTCCACCATTTTGTAAGCTAATGAAACTGTGAGTCACCCATTTTATATCTAATTTTTAATCATGTCGATTATCAAATGGGTGTATCTCCTTAGCCTGCTGATTCCTTTTCTCTTCAAAGAAAGTGGGTGGAGAAATTTAACTCTAGACGTTTGTTTGCAATAAAATAAATTCATTTTACTCTTGTTTTGGGATTGTTGCCATCAAGGTTTAAATCCCTTTAAGGCTATAAAGAGGAAGAGAATGTATGGAAGTGACAATGTTGGACAGTTCTGAACTCATTACTTTGTACATGCTGAAATACTTGTGTTTCTTTAAAAAGTTTCTTTAATAATCTAAACCAGTGGTTGCTCTGTTAGAGGTGTATCACGTGTATAATCTCACAGCTTAACGGTTACATGTGTAGGGCAGAAGTCTTCTGAGTTTCACTTGCATCATGTAAATCCACTTAATCTATTTATTGTAAAATAGAAACTAGGGAAGGAGTAGAGGAGGAAACCGCAGGGAATAGAGAAGGAGAGTTGTCACAGAATTAATCCTGGAGTTAAACAGAGCGCTTTAACTGCTGTTTTGTTCAGACTTACGCTTTTGTAAAACTGTAGTGATAATGTTAGCTAATAACTTACTGCATCTTAATGCCATGAGTCAGGGAAGAAACATAACTGTTCTAAGTTGGCCTGACAGTGTACATGTGAAGACATTGCTGCCAGCAGCTGGGAGTTGGGATTTGTGTGCCGAGTTCCTGTTGGCAGTGTACAGACTGCAGAGGCTTACCAGCAGCAGCGTAGACCTAGAGGCAGTGTAGTGTGCTTGAAACTTTCCTCAAATGTTAGTCAATTTCTAATAGTCCTTGAAAGTAACGATAAAGTTGTGTTGCTCTTCTAGCCTTTATAGCAGATGACATTGCATATTGACATTAAACATTAACAGCACCACCTTGTTAATACTGCTTTAAATCATCCCTTTACTTTGAACAAGAATAATGTAAGCTGTCTTTAAAGAAACATTATTTAATGAACTAGAAATACGAGAAATATAAACCCAACTCTGTTTTTGCTGAAATGGAATTTTCTTTAGACTTGCAAAGAAAATCTTAGTGTAATTAAATCCCATCTCCCTTCTACCTTCCTCCTAAGAACCTAACACTTTGTATGGAGTGCTGATCCTTTGCTTATTTTGGTACTCTATAAAATTATATAGTCTTAAACTGAAATATAAGAGCCTACACTTACTATGTGCTTGTAAAGTTTGTATTTTAATGCAAAAGTCTGGGCTGTTTTCTTCTCTGTTCAACATGCGGTGTTAATGCCACAGTGGAGAGGAAGGGCTTTAAGTGGCTTACAATTGAAGCAGGAGTACATTTCAACTAAAAATACTCCTAAATGAAGAATATTGCCTTAAGGTGCTAACTGCTCTGTGTTTTCAGGTACAGAAGCCTAAAGCTTCTGCCATAAGTACCATTGAAGTACAGTTAGTTCAGAAACGTCATATGTGAGTTTAAATACTTGCCTTGCTCATGGCAGAGCAGGCCTTCATTTGTGTGAGGTTTTGTTCAGCCTGGGTTCATCCACAAAGGAAAATTTCCTTCAGTTTATCTTAGCAGTAGTTATTGCTAAAAGGGAGATTTATATTTATTTTCACATAATTTGTTGACCTAGAATATCACTACTCTTGTGAAAAACTTCGATTTCCATTTATTCCCCTGAAAATGCCTGGTAACTTAGTAGCATCAGTGCAAAGAAAGCACAGCTGCATGTTGTCAGCATGGGAGGGCTGAACCATCTGTCATATTGAGTAACTTCACAGCTTATAAGGACTTGTTTACAGGAGAGGTGCCTGTGTTCCAGCAGCCGTGGTGCTGGCAGGGGTGTAGCACGTTGCTCGTGGCATATAACACTGTGGCAGGAGGGTGGTGAGGATGTGGCCTCCTTGTAATGCAGCCCAAACCTGGAGCGCCTGGGCTACAGCTCCATGGCAGTGGGGGCCTCAGCAGCAGGGCTGTGCTTCTGCCTGTGTCCTGCAGCCCGGCCTGAGGCCTGCTCACATCTCGCTGCTGCTGTGGCTATGGCTGCTGGCTGCTCTACTGCGGAGCCGTGTCTAAGAGGCTGAGCTGGAGACTAGGCAGAAAGCTTCCATTCGGAAAGCAAAGCCAACAAATACTTCTGTTGTCTTTGAACCTCTGTGTGCAGCAGATGCTAGGACACACAGGGTATTCCCCTTGTGGGCATTCCCCTCGTGCCCTGCTGTTGGCACAAGGCTGTGTCCTTGGGGCTCCATGACTACGCATTCTCAGGTTACCTGAGGATGGGCTCTTACCTGTGGGATGTCAAATTCTAGCTTACTCTCTGGAACTCCTTGTGAGAGCCCTGCCCTCAGAGACAGACCCTACTGCAAGGAGCCAGCCTTGCTCATGTGCTGGGCTGCTTGGGAAGTACTGGGCAGTGGCGTCTCCGTGTGGTGGAGCCTATGTGCCTGGTGCCTATGGCAGAATAATTTCTGATTGGCTAAAACATTCCAAAATTGCCCTTCACCCTTAACACTGCCCCATTTTTTCTGATGGTGGAATCAACTAAACCAGAATTCTGGCAATGCTGTGTACAGTCTGTGCCACTGAGATTAAAAAAAGTATTGGTGGCATAAGCTGCTTTTTTTTAAATCTCCTTCTATGCCACTATGTTTTTAATAGAAACAGCTGATGAAGTCATCTTTTACAACGTGGAGGTTTCCTTCTCCATGACCCTTTGGAAAACTAGGCCAATGCTTTGTGAAAGTGCAGCTGCAGGCTGAGCCCTGAGCTGTCTGGCTGAGTTACAGATGGAGGTACTGAAGGACTTCCACAGATGTTCCACAGCCACATCTGAGACTCTCACAAGCAAAAAAGTGCACGCACACACACAGTTATGCAGCTTGCACTGCTTTGGCCCTGAAATGCTGCACAGGGTGGGGACAGATGCAGGACAACCCAAAACTCCAACCGCATAACTGAGAGCACTGTCCAGATATGTCTTAAACTCTGGGACTTGGGGTCGTGCCCACTGCCCTCTGGTGCAGAACCGTCCCTAACCCCCACTGCCCCCCCCAACGCAGCTCCATGCCGTTCCCTCGGGCCCTGTCGCTGTCACACAGAGCAGAGCTCAGCACTGCCCCTCTGCTCTGGACTAGCAAACCCAAGGGCCTTGGCCGTTCCTCACGCACCTTGCCCTACAGACCTTACATCTTCGTAGCCCTCCTTTGGACACACTCTTGTAGTTTTATGTCCTTACGTTGTGGCATCCAAACCTGCACCCAGTGCTGGAGGCTGCTGGAGGCAGCCAGGAAAGCAGGGCCCGGCCACCATCGGACTGTGTGTGACTCCCGCCTTCATTTGCCTTTCTGCCAGTGCTGGGAGTGGCAGGAAGTTTCAGCAGTCAGCAAACTGCTGCATAAACTCAGAATCAGCTTAAAAAGATAGTTGCTAAATGCTTAACACATTGTAAACTTCAAGAGGGAACAAACAAAGGCAAGTGTAGGAAACCTGTAACGCAGTCATTCACACTGCGTGCTTTCTGTCCCTGCACACAAGCTACCTTACAGCAGGTTTTGTTCCATTTCCTGCTTCAGTACATAATCTTTGATCTGCAGGATCACTTAGGTGCTAAGTTATTGAAATCGAAACTATTTTCAGACATAGAAAAATATTATGACGTGGTAGTGCAGGGAAGATGCAGTTTACACCAAACAGTGATGGTGGATCAGACAAGGCCCTCACTGGGACACCACTGACATGGGATACAAAAGCAGGTATTTCTTTTCTGATCTGTACCTGGCCTTAGTTTATGTTACATTAGCCTACATTAGCACTTCTAGAGCTCTTTGCTTACAGAGTTTTCCCTAAGTTCTAACAAAAACTCTCACTGGATGTGTGGAAATGTGTGCTTGGGGGGAGCAGTGTGGAGTGCTAGCTCTGAAACAGTGTGGGTGCCTGCAACAAACTCAAAAGTAAGAAGGTTCAGCAGTACCAAGAACTCCCTGAAAGAAGTCCTTAGTTGTAATCACGTGGTTGAAGTACTGCTAATTGCTTACAAGGTGAGGGACACAGGAAGATTAAGTTCTCTTTTCTTCCAGCCTTCCTGTATGCCACTTATGGCACGGGCTGGACTTGCATTTGGGCCGCACTGAACTTTCAGCTTTGCGGGGCTGGTGAGTGAAGTTGATAAGATAAGCTCTTGTGTTATAAAAGGACTTTTGCCTTTGTGGTAAGAAGGTAGTAAAAGAGGAGGGGGAGAGGTAATTAGTAGGACTTGCAGTATTTTTTCTGAGGGACTTGCAGCTCGTTCACATCATGCTGAGAAAAAAAAACAGACTGGGAAATCATTGAACTAGCTGAGGTGGGGCCACACGCAGCAGCAGCACGTGCAGGGTGTGAGTGGTGGAGCTACGTAACCAAAGCCCGATCTGCACTGTGCATGTTTGTCTGTTCTGCTGTGTGGTCCCTGCTGCTGTCAGCACACCCACGGGGTCCTGGGGCCTCCAGCACAGCCTGGGACTTCAGAGGATTTGATTCTCTGAAACTGAACTGGGCATTCTTTGGGTGAGTGGACCCCTGCGCTGCCTCAGGTTTTGTGGGTTCTCTGAGTTGCAGAAAATGTTCACAAGAACCCTCCAGAGATGCTGTCCATCCATCCATTGAAGCTGCACAGGTAGCAGTACTCAGTCAGGGCAGATGGGGCTTCATCTAGCAGAATCTTGAAAACCTGCAAGGACAGAGACCACACAACCTGTCTAGGCAACCCATTCGCATCCTGTGCCACTCTCTTAGTAAATAAGAAGTTGCCTGGCCTATTGCCTGGCCTGAAGCCCCTGCTGCATCATCTCCCACTACCAAGAGGAGTGTGGCTGCCCTACCAATAATTCTGGCCAGTTATTAGATCATCCCATAGTCTGTTCCTCCTCAGAATAATCCAGATTCTTCCACCTTTCTTCCAGTACCCTCCATGTTTTCAACAACCTCATCGATCAGGAGGCCCAAAAATGGACAGCAGTATTGCACACAACATCATGCACTGCGAGATAATCACAGAATGGTTTGGCTTGGATCTCAAAGCCCACCCCGCCCTAACCTGCTGCTGTGGGCAGGGCTGCCCCCCACCAACTCAGGCTGCGCAGGGCCCCATCCAACCTGGCCCTGTGTGCCTCTAGAAATGAGGCACCCACAACTTATCTGGGCAGCAGTGCCAGTGCCTCACCACTCTCTGAGTAAACAATTTCTTCCTAACATCTAACCTGAATCTTTCCTCTTTTAGCTTCAAGCCATTCTGCCTTTTCCTATCACTATCAGACCATGTAAAAAGCTGGTCCCCCTCCTGTTTATAAGCTCCCTTCAAGTACTAGAATGCTGCAATGAGGTCTCCTTGGGACCTTCCCCAGGCTGAACAAGCCCAGCTCTGTCAGACTTTCTTTGTAGGAGGGAGAGGTGCTCCAGCCCTCTCATCATCTTCATGGCAACCTCTGGACCTGCTCTAACAGGGGCAGGTCCCCTGTGCTGGGGCCTCAGACCTGGATACAGTACTCTAGATGGGGCCTCACAAGGGCAGAGTAGATGGGGACAATGATCTCTCTCACCCTGCTGGTCCCCTCCTCTTATGATGCAGCCCCTTGATTTGTTGGCCACCTGCTTCCTGACATAGCCCAGCTTGATATGCCCTGTTTGCAACAAATACACTGTTCGCCCATATCCAACTTGGCATCCACAGTAAGCACTATCCATACAGCAGAGCTGCTGTACACAGCAGCCTCTGTTGTACACTCCTGTATAAGCAGCTTTCCTGTTATAATAATAAGAGTAATAATAACAGTAATTTGTATTCATTAAGTCATTAAATAGTAAGTCAAGCATCTAAGAAATAAATATTAGACATAACTTGTGCAAGTTAAATGTCTTGTGTATTTTCTCTGTTTGCTCTGGGAGACCTCAGAGGAAGAGGCTACGATAGAGCAATAAAAACTATTTTAGTACTTGCATATCAACGACCGTAACAGTTAAACGTTACAAAATGCATTTGGGCTCCAGAAGGCATTCTTCCAGGCACGGCCTTTGCAGGAAATTGCCTGTTCACAGGGAAGGGGAGGATCTCAGAGGAGCACAAGACAGGATTTCAGTGCTGGAGCTGAAGGGTTCAGTGTGATACCTGGCTGCCACAGCAGCCACCTTCTCCGAAGCAGTGAGATGACATGGGTGACGGTAACCTGGCACTCAGGTCTGCTGGGTGCCGAGGGACTGAGAAAAACCTGTGACCTGCTAGTATGGAGCCAGGCGTGGAGGCCGCGTGGTAGGAGCAGAAAGCGGACAGACTGCAAAGTCTCTGGCAGCTCCCGGACATTCCTCAGGCAGGGGCTGCTACTATTGCTTCAGCAGCAGCTTGGCTCAGCCCTGGGATATTTATGTGGCTCCATGGTTTGGCAGCCTGCCACTGCTTTTCTTTTCTTTTTTTTTTTTTTTTTTAAAGAAACGGCCATGAAAGGGAAGTGATGGATTCCAAGAGTTTCTTTCAGCAGACTACTGAAGCAAATGAAAAGTTTTCAGGAATTAGCTTGCTTTTATATCTAGTTACTGCCTTGGAAAGTACATTATATGGCACTGAATATAAGCATCACTATCTTGTTCCAAAACAAAACATGAAAATCGCACTACTGAAAGCAACTGAAGGCTGGTGGGGGAAGGGAGCAAATGGTCTCCCCCCAAGCAGCAGCTGTGTCTCCTGAGTTTCAGTTAGTATGGATCCCACTGGGGATGCCTGGTAGATGGGAGACATTTCTGCTGTATTGGTAATAGAACTCTCCTGCATTCTGTGAGTTTTGCCACCACACCAAGAGTATGCAATGTAATAAAGATCTGTCATTTGTTGCATGCCATAACCTTGCAGTTCTCAGGGACTGGAGCATGGATGCAGGCGTGCATACTGGACACAGACACAGAAAAGCAAACACATCAAAACGCTCAGTCTTGATTAGGTTGCATTAACTAAACTCAGCTCCACTTTTGACCTATTAGTTCTTTATTCTCCAGATTAAAAAATCAGAAGCTCATCATTTTCACCTTCTGAACATACTGTAAAACCTTGTTTTGATCAGTTTTCCAAGGTAATTTTACCTTCAACCTTTTATTATTAATCACCAAGCTCCTGCCATAAGCTACAGAATACAGGTATGAGAAGCATGGGAATTAATCTACTGAGCTGGGGTAATTCTTTTACTTTGGAACTCACTAATGCTTCATTCTTACTCCCTTGAAAAAGTCATCCTACCAAAAGCCAGAGTCATTTATCAATGACACCAAGTGGCCTTTCCTTCACAGCACTCTCGATCTTGGGTTGGGTGGTAACAAACAGCCTGGAAATCTGCAAAATGAATGGAGAAATCAAAGCCATCATCTCCTACAAATCTCTGTTTGGGTAAAGCTGTAATTGACAACTTCGGAATGACAGTTGTAATTGCCTCTGCTGTCAACTAAAACATTTTAATTCTTGGCTTTTGAGTCTTTCGCAATTTTTTGGTGGCTAAAGCATTACCTCTGCTATAGAGAAGAGTGCTGGAGAGTAGTGGCAATCTGATTACACACAATTCTATTACAGAGCTGGCAATTCACCTTACTTAGATTGCCATATTTCTGTCTGTTACCTTGACAGTGACTCCTCCCTAGAAGGCTTGGAGGGTATGACCCCTTGTGTGGTGTGCTCCTGTCGCTGCCAGGAGCTCTGAATGCAATCCTGCTGGAAGAGGGCTGGTGAACACCAAGAGAGTCAGTAGCACAAGCAGCACGATGAGTAAGGCGTGCAGGAACTGAAGATGCCGCAGGCCCATTTATGTACTTTGGTGGCACTTTAGATTGCCTTAAAGTAGGGAGACTTTGTGCATGGTCAACTCTCAGTGCATTCCTTCTCTGCTGTTGTAGACCCATCCCTTTCACATCAGCTAAATTCTTCTCACAGCTTCCTTTTCTACCCCCTCTCTCCATTCAGCAAAAGCTCCGACTTTTTGTTAGCTCTGTTTTACCCCAGCTTTAAATAATGAAACTCAAACATGTTAGCCAGACTGCTGCGTATTACCACTTATCCCATTTTTTTCTGCTAACATTTGTGTGAAACACACTCATTTTATATTTTGTAGTAATGTGAATAGCATTAGGCTGGTGATCTAAGCAATGCAGATACATCTATGTAGAATTTAACAGTTAATGGCCAGAATTACTAATACTGTAGCTAAGCAGCCATAGGGGTAGTAGTCATAACTACAGTAGCACAAAACAAGAGCCAAATAACACTGGAGATAATCTAATCCTGCTGTCTGCTCCTCATCGTGGTCACAGTACTTAATCATTTTGAAAGATGCCCTTACATGCATGCTACCTTCTTTCCTGTCAGTACAAAACCACATTCTCTTCTTTCTCAACAACTGATGATTTTTGCCTAAAAGTAAACTTTAATCCAGACGTTTTTGTCTTCTCCCAAGCTGAATTATGACCTCACAGCAAGAAGACCCCTGCTTAGGTTGCAGTTCCTTTTCTTAGTCAGATAGGAAAGAATTCAACCATGTATTAAAATAGGAGCATGCGCTAAGTACTTGCTCAGTTTCCTACAATCACTCCAAGGGCTTTATGATGCAATGCCTCCTACCTGATCCAAAGAGAAGGAGCACCTCTCCCCTCACAGCACAAAATTAGGAGTAACACTTTCTCCTGTAAATTAGAGCTAAATACGAGGCAAATTCCAAGCTTGAATTCTCCAGAGAAGGTAGTGTTTCACTGTGATAACTCAAGGTCTCTGGGGACTTTTTAATACCAATTACTGAACTGAAAGTTCTCCATAAAACTTATCTTCATTCTTTCACATCCTCCAGAAGAAACAAGAGGAACAGGGTACAAATAGAAATGGTAAAGAATGCAAATTTGTTTTCTTCTTCTATGAGGCAAATCCATAAAGCGTTCCAAAAGTTGAATTATCTTTGTTTTAGCAGCACGTTGGTTTAGTGCTCTGACATATACTTCCAAATTGACAGAGCCCATGCTGCTGCTTACAGCTGGACATCCCCGCCCCCACCAACCTGAGTCACAAACTCTCTCAAACTAAGTCCAGGGAAATGCTTATAACGTAATATACTATAAGTCATTTTGTGAAAACCCTGAATATACTCTTCACTATATAGACACAAGCATGCAAACAAAGACATACTACACCATCATTCATATTCTTGTCAGTACGCAATTAGAGCTAACACTATTTTCAAATAAGACAATTAAGATACTTTCTATGAAAGTATATGTCTATATTTCTTTTAACTGAAGATTTACAGTGACGTATACTAATGGTGTGCCTTTTTAGATGAACCATCACCACTTATAAATCACATCAATTGTTGTTCTACCAATTGTAACAAAATGTCTTAAGAATCTTCTTCAGTGAAGTTAAAAAAAATGTTACATAAGTATGTGAGATTCCTCCTGAAGTGATTTTATTCTTAATTTTGCACAGATGGAACAAAGATGGAAATTCAGCTTCACAGTCTCTAAATTATTTCAAGTTACGGAAGCTACTGATATCTTCCACTTTGCGCAAGCAAAGCACTCACCTACTGCTTAAATATTCCCGTTTTCCAAATGCTACACTTAGCAGCAGCACTGCAAGATGCATTTATTCAGAACAGCTGATGAAAATATCTTGCATTTAAACGAGATGAAATTAGAACTTTGCTTTGTTTGTAAGTTAAAGCAGTCCCCAAATGTTGTCATTAATTCTCTGAGACTGCACAACACAGCATCAATTGCCAAATGTTTAACAAGTCAAAAACAAGGAGGTCATCGCTAACTGTGTACACAGTCACATACATACATACATGAAACAAAGGCTTATATACAGATTTAACAAATTCACTCCGAATTTCTTATTTAAATCTTCTAGGAAAAACAGCATGATTTATCAGTTTCAGTTATCTGACATACTTACAGGGCACACTGCCATTTTTGGACCACCTTCTCTCAGCGCTGTATTACAGCACCTATACAGATTCCCCTACAGTAGGACTACGAATTGCTTCTTTCATTGCCAGTTTGTTTTTTTTCTGGATCAAAAGAACTGCCTTCAAATAACATTTTGTTTCTCATTCCTTCTTTAAGCATTCTTTGCCGAATCCTCTGTTGGGCTAAATTGTACCTGCAGTAAAACCTAGAAAGGGAGACAAAAAGAAAATGGGATTCACTCTTTTCTGTGTCTGACAGTATCAAATCAGTGTTATTCAGCCAGCTGAAAAGTTGAAACTGTACATACATAGCAGACTTCATCATAAAATAACGCTTAAAGAAAATACCAAGATACCTGATATTTCTTTAAGGCAAACATTACTTAGCCATTGAGAAGGAGAACATACAATTCCAATGGAGAATTCTCAGTTTTATAGTTCAGACCTTGACCTCACACACATTTAGTATCCTGCCTTTATGATCAGGACAGAAGAAAAACAACCAGTTGTTTTTTGTTTGTTTTCCTTAGTATACAGAAATAAGAATTCAGAGATACTGAATTTTTTTCCCTTAAAAAAAAAATATCTGCAGAAGAAAGTAGAGGATAGTTTGCTAGGCAGGTTATTTTTGGTGTTTCAAGAACAGCGGGCAAGGTCACACAAGGATTGCATGATACAAAGCAGCCAACAAAGGTCTGCCAAAATTTAAGGAGCATTTTACATACCAGTATCCTAACATTGTGCAAATAAAGCCACCGACTGCAAAGTCACAAGATCTTCTAACTCTACCTGAAACAAAGACAAAAATGCTCAAAAAATTAGAGAAATAACTTGGGGGACTTCCCATTATTCATAAAGTCTAACAGAAAAAATGAATGAATTTATCTTTACGAATCAACACATGGGAAGATACAGAAGGTGTACTTACTAGAAGTACTTACTAGTTGCTAAAAAGTGTCCAAGACCCACAACTAAAGATCCCAGAGAGCCATACAGCACTGATTCTCGTGCACATGGGACATTTTTAACATCAAGAAATCCTAGGAGTTTGAAGGACTATAAGGAGAAAAAAAAAAACCACAAATTAATATTTCAATGAAAAAATGACTTTGGTAGACTTCTACCATGCCAATTTCACACTAAAACTGACTCATCTTAGCAGTCAACAATAAACACTGGAGGATTCTTTGCTTCCAAGGCTCTATTTATATTTGAACAAAAACAACTTATAGGTGAACATGCACAGCTCCATCGAGAATTGTTAGGAAAGAGTTAGCAATTGATTTATCATTTGCTCATTTTGTACATCATTTGTTATAACCCTGGTGATCTATCATTCCTATTAAAAATTATAAAGGAACTACTTCACTTCTTCCTTTATATTTCCTCCCTTAGAAAGAGAAGAGAGAAAACCCACAGGAACCCAGTTCTTTTGTCCAAAACCAACCCACATCAGGACAGACAGGTAAGGTCACGACCAACCAGGTAAGGTTATGCTGTGTCATTTTAATAACTGAAAAAGTAAATGTGTTTAAAAATAAATTTAAAAAAAAACTGAAAGAAATTACCAGAAAAGATGCAGATACCAGAGAATCTTATACTGAACAAAGGAATAAAAACATCATTCTTATCCTAATCCTATGTATTGGCACAACTTGCTCAGATAAATTCCTCTGTATACCACGCATGGGTTCTTAAATGAACCTACTGGTAAAAATTACTCAAATTAAGCCATACGCTCTTTCCAATTATAACCCACACTGACTTTTATATGTCAATTTTCTATTTAACCTTCAAATGGCAATTACATGTGGCATTCATAAGCACAACTGTGAACTGACAAATCCGTTTTTAATTTCACAGATGCTTACACTGGCTTCAGCACACTCTAAGTCTCCTAATTTGAAAACCACTTGAATCTCTCACCCGATAGACATCCTCACAGGTGCACAAAACCTGAAATGGGAAACTACCTCTATACAGGCCTCCAAGCAACACGGTCAGAACACTGCCCAGAGAGGCTATGGATGCCCCCTCCCTGGAAGCATGCAAGGCCAGGCTGGATGGGGCTCTGAGCAACCTGGTCTGGTGCAACTTCTAGCAAGGGGGTTGGAACTAGATCATTTAAAGGGTCCCTTCCAACCTAAACCATTCTATGATTCTATTAACTAGAATAAATCCACTCTTCTTTCTTCTCATTCGTCTGCTAGATTTTGAAGATGGAATGCTGCAGAAAGCCACGTGGGAAGGGCCGGCAGCTCTGGAAAGAGGTCAGCATCACTGTGACACAGCGTGGCTGCGCTAACAGGGACGCAGGCATGTGCCAGCAGCTGGATTTGTGGGCGGGTAAGGGAATCCCCACCAATAACCGTGCCTGTGTCCTCTGTGGACAACCATCCAGCCGTTCAACGTAATCCCTGCGCACATGTGAGACAGAAGGGATTTGGTCTATATCGGTCTAATCTCCTAATGAATAATTTCAAGCGCTCCCTTATGGAAGAGGTCATCCGATACACTGCCGTTGTGTACCAGGAAGGTACGGTGCTACATCTGTGCTGCATGAGGCACCCTTTTAAAATAGTCCTTCACCTGTTGCCGTACTGAAATCATCCGCTGCGGCTCCAGCCACTGATAACTGCTGGGGACACAAGAGCTCGAGCGGCACGGCAGCTTCACCCAAAAAGAGAAGGCCCGGCAAAAGAGCAGGCAAAAAAAACAGACAACCAAAAACCCCAAAACAGCAACAACAACCAATCCCCCCAAAACCACGCAGCCCTTCCCGACGCGGTTCCATTCAGCCTCCCGCTCCGCCCCGATCCCCGCTCTGATCACGGCGCAGTGACCGCGCTCCACATCCCGCTCAACAACCGCTTCCTCAGCACTCAGAGCCTCAGCCGAGAGCCGGCAGCGGAGCGGAGCGAGGCGAGAAACACCCGCCGCTTTCCATTACCTTCCCCGGCTCAGAGTCGCCCTCGCCCGCCATGCTGCGACAGCGCCGCGCCGGCCGCGCACCACCGAGAGCGGGCTGGGGCCGCGTAGAGCAGGCACGAGGAGCGGCCGCTCTAGCCGCCGCGTCTCTATGGTGCCCGCGCGGGGAGAGGGGGCGGGCGAGAGCGCCGGCGCCATTTTAGGTCTAGCGCTGAGATTCCAGCAAAATCCTTTGTTCGGTGAAATGGGTCACGGAGCAGGGGGCGCGCGCGCGTGCTCGCACCTAGAGGGCGGGGGCACGCGGGCGCGCAGCGGGAAGGGAGCGAGCGCGGCGCTGGCGTCCGGCCCGACCTTCTCTACGGCGCACCTCCGCCCGGTGCGGCCGGCGGCAGAGTCCCCCGCGCCCCATCCCGTCCCCGCCACGCGCAGGGCAGCCCGTTCTCGCTGCTAGCGCTTCCTGGCGCGGCCCCGCCGCTGCCCTACGCTGCTACCCGAGCTGTGCTGCTTGGCGGTGCCGCGTACCGCCCGCCCTGCCGCCCTTAGCGGGCCGCTCGCTTTATTGTCGGTGTTTGTGACGGGACGGGACGAGCACACGCGCAGCTCTTAGCGCCCTGCGCCGACTCGCTCGTGCCCTCGGTCCTTTGTGCAGAGGGAGAGTGACGCGGCTCCCCGTGCCTCCCCCTGCCTTTGCTGTACCATAAATCCTCGAGTAGAGGCCCCCCGCCGTCCCGCGGCTTGAGGCCCAGCCCCAGCCGGGCGAGCGGCCGAAGGAGCGGGGCAGGGCTGAGGAGCGACAGGAAACGTGGCAAACGCTGCGGAGCGCACGGGGGGAGAAGGCAGGCGGCTCGGGCTGCCCGTACCTCTGCCGTAGCCGGCAGCTGGGGCGGGCTGAGGGCGCCGGGCAGGGCGGTGACGCAGTGCTGGAGGGCATCGGGAAATGGTAGATTGGGGAGGACGGGGATGAGTTGTTCCAGTAAGTGCTTTTGAAAGAGGCCTCGTTTGGCTCGTTTACAACTAAGTCACACGTGTAATTACACACTGGGGGTAAAAAGTTGGCCTCCTACAAATAATGCCTCAGACGTATAATTTTTCTTGCGGTAAGATCTGAAAAGGTAAATTGTAGAATCGTAGAGTCGTAGAACGGTTTGGGTTTGAAGGGATCTCAAAGCCCGCCCAGCTCCAACCGGCTGCTGTGGGCAGGGCTGCCCCCCAACAGCTCAGGCTGCCCAAGGCCCCGTGCAGCCTGGCCTTGAGTGCCTCCAGGGATGGGGCATCACAGCTTCTCTGGGCAGCTGTGCCATTAGCTCTCTGCCCTATGAGTGAACAACAACTACCTAACATCTAGCCTAAATCTCCCCTCAAATAGCTTCGAGCCATTCCCCCATTGTCCTGTCACTTACTACCTGTGTAAAAAGTTGATTTCTCTCCTATTTATAAGCTCCTTAAAGTACTGGAAGGCCACAGTAAGGTCTCCCTGGAGCCTTCATTTTTTTGGGGCTGAACAAGACCATCTCTTAACCTACCTCCATAAAGAGAGGTACTCCAGCCCTCTGATAATCTCTGTGGCCCTCCTCTGGGCCAGCTCCAACAGCTCCAAATCTTAGTGTATCAGCAAACAGGTACTGATACAGGTCCCTACCTCCTAAGTAGTGAACCACACCGTAGGTTCAGTTTAGGGCTTTTTATATCTCAGCTTTGAAGTAAAACAAGGATGAAAGATGTGAAATACTGCTCTTTCATTTAAAATAAATAGTGTGTTTTGAAATACATTACTTTTGTCTGTGGACTTAGATATCTTCAGACCTTTTATAATAGTTTTGGATGTATTTTGTTCTTTATGTTGAATAGAAGAGAATAGAATAGGTCTTTTGCACTCAGTGGAATTCAAGTTTGTTTGAGCATTATGTTTTCAGGATTCTGGAAACAATGTCCTTTTACACAGAATGAATTTTTGTATATCACTGGCTGAAAAATGCTGTTCTACATTTGCGTAGACTGCTTGAAACCTTTGATTGATAGGTCAGAAACAGTTCTCAATCCTTCCCACTGGTTCCAAATCTATAATTGTTTTATTATCTCTGTAGCCACGAGATCATGCTCAGAATTCATGGAACGAACAGATCCAATACATCTACAATTTTGAAAGGATGAGTAAATCTCTCTAGAACGGTGAGTTGTTAAATCTTTTTATCCATAATGTAATTTATATATGTACAAACATAGGATATTTACTATAATAAAATGTGGAAAACAAAATAATTGGCATAACCTCTTCTTGGCAGTTGTAATATGTTTTTATCTTAGTTGGTTTAAGAAACACCATATAATTGCATTTTATTACACAGCTGCAAGCACTGAAGAATATAGTAAGAATTGACACGAGTATGCTAATGCATCTGTAATTAACAGGGCCACAGCATTGAAGGCACTGCTTTTATTGGTGATGACTTGGCCTGTCCTGCACAAGTTAATATTTTGAAGCAGATGAATGAAAGAATCTGATTTTTTGGCTTTAAAACAGAAAATTGGATTTGGAATGAATGTGCTATGGACTAGAGTACACCAATAGAACATCCTCTGTCTGATAGTCAAGAACAGGCAGAGGAGAAGCATATGTATCTCTTTTCCTAACAACATACCTTACACTGAAATACCCACTGGCAATGAAATTCAAGCTTTTTGCTCTCTCTTTGATGTCGTCTTTGGTCTGCCATACTGCTGCATATCATAGCTTTGCTTCTTCTGTTTTAGAAGTCATCCTATGATTATTAACTGTTGTCCTTTGTGGAATTAAAAGTAGACAGAGGGCTGCTTGGCATTGCTTGAGATCAGTGAGGATGTGTCAAATGTGTGGTTCACTTTCCTTCCTCATCTGTTTTGACCTGGCAACTCAGGGTGTGTGGTGAAGGACAGCGTCCTCAGACCCTTAAGGAGGGCAGTGCTTCAGTCCTGCTTCTTTTCTCCCGACTTGTTTTAGAGACTGGAAGAGGGAGCTTCTTTTCTCATCCTGGGTTGATATAAAAATAAGTCATTCTTAAAATAAAATTTATTCTAGTGACTGAGTCTGCTAGTTGATAAAATTGGAAAAAAATATATTTTTACTAGACCATAAATATTTTTTGTTACAATTTCAGTCAATTCTGATGAATTCAAAGTATCCAAAGTATGAAGAACTTTATTACTGTTTTGAGCAGTTTTTATCGTGTTTGGGGTAAATGTAAAATGAGTCTAGCTTGACTCAGTATTACCAGACCAATACTTGGCAAAGCATGCCAGCATTATTTACTTGCAGTGACAACAAATGAGCGTGTGCAGGCATGCAGTAGTTGCATTTATGAGGGTACAGGAAATGTGAAAGCTGATGAAATATGCCCTCTACTTTGCCAAAATGATCTGCTGCAAGGGCAGCACCGAGCTTCTCCTAAACACTTGGTGCCGCTGACCCAGCAGAGGCACATCTCAGAGTATCTGCCCTTGTACCCTGCAAGTGAGTCCTACAGGGAGGGAGGCAGAACACGAGCATTGGCATACCAGCCTTCCTCCACTGGTAGCAACAGTATGCCATTTCTGGAAGCCTGGCACATCATGCATGGATTTGGAATTGCTGCTTTGGTTTTCTTTCCTTAAAGACATGGCTGATATGGAAAGATACTTTACCTTAAGGACATTATTCTTTGATGGAAACTGCCTATGCATGCTCAATTTTATCCATAATAGCATGCTGGCTAACACTCACTCTTAGAAATTTGAGCTTTTCCTACATTTATGCAACCTTTATTTTCATTAGTTGATCAAAAATTCATTGCACCCTTTGTTGTTAAGCTGCAAGCCTGCCCTCTCGTCCCTGAAATTTCTAGCTTGGGATTGGGTTTGGATCAGGTTTAGTGGTTTGGGTAGGTCTTTGGCAACTATCCTGGTTCTGGCCCATTAACCCTCACCTCTGCACATAAAGACCAGGCCACACAAGACTCTTGTCTTTTCAGTGGTGGCAAACTGGCCATCACTTACTGCATATAGAGCAGTGGACAAAAGGTACTCCTGTCATACAGTGCAGCCAGGCATCTGGCTTGTTGACTTCTTCCATGCTTATTTCCTTCATCATGCTGAGTGCTTTCTTGAAGGGTCAGAAGCTACTTAGTTTTGTCACCTCTGGTCATGAGGGAAGGCACACGTTTGCTCTTTTGAGGGCAGTGCAGATTTAGCTTGAGTGCCTAAAGTTGTTCTGTCACAGATGTTGTTAGGTAGCAGGCCAGAAGATTCCCGGGTTGGTGGTCAAGGCATGCCTTGAAACAAATTTTGATGATGTGCTACATTTTATCTGTCTTCATAGTCAACCTGGAGCTGCTTAAACAGAAGTCAGGCAGTTGCCTATGGTGACCAGGTGCCAATTCATAAGCCATGAAAGCAACAGGTACTACATTGCCAAAGGTCAGGAAGAGTGTGGCTATTCCACTCGTGTCCCCAGTTTTCATGAGGGTGTTTGTCCTTCAGGAGGAGGTCATCATATTATGGGATGTGGGTATGTAGGAATTTTGGTCTTGTATTTTGGTAGTTCTGTGGTGGTGTTTGCTATGATGGTTGTAGAGATACCATCCAGCAGGTTATGTCAGAGTAACCACACCTGTGGGAGCAGAGTTGAGGAGAATGGGGCAATCACAAAGCACGTGTGTAGGCTACTTCTGCTGCCAAGGCAGTCAGGAACAACACTGTAATTAAATGAAGCAAATTACCTTTTTTTTTTTTTTTTTTTTCCCCAGCATTAGTGCTCATGAAAATTAAGTTTCAGCTGCAAGACAGTTTTATTCTGGATTGGCTTTGCTGATGTTTTCTGTGGGATAACTTTGCCTAAGTTGTTCCTAGCTACCCATACAAATGATCTTTTTAGCCACAATGTGTAAGAGTTGTTAGTTCAACGCACTTCTCTTAATGCCAAGGAAATGAGGACAGGCTTCTATGGCTTTATTTCTTCCGCCAAATCTCTAAATCTGTTTATCTTATTTAAACACCTGATTCAAAAAGAATGAGGAGCTTCTATTAAAAAAAAGGCTTATATAAAACCTTAGTAACTATAAATTCAGTTAAACTGCTGAAGGTAGAGTTACATTTAGAATTTCCTGACTTCTTAGTAGCAACTGGATTTAAGGATGTATCTGACTGAAAACAGAACTGACGTTTTCCTAGTTAATCAACATCTTTCATGTGATGAAACTATTTCTTATTTTGTCTATAAAGCATTCCTTGAATGTATTAGTGGCAAATAGAAAGACACTAAGCTTTCTTATACGTCATTATAATCCACTCCAAGCAGATAACAGTAATATTTTGGGTGGGAGAAGAGGGGGGGTTGATCCATTATTTTTTTCAGTTGCAACTTTCTAACATGTAGAATGTGTTTTCTGAAATTGAAGTCATGAGGAGATGTCTGTTACTTCTGAGACAAATCTGAATAATACTGACCCAGTGATCGTAGGGTTATAGAAACTGGAGGTGGAAGGGAACCTGGAAGATTTGCTCATCCATTCCTTTCACCCAGAGCTACTTTAGTTATGCTGTCTCTTGCTTGTCTGTTTTAAGGTGTTTATCTAAGTGTTCCATAGAGAGGGATCCTCCCAGCTTCCCTTGACAGTCAGTTTTCTAATTGTAATCAGATTGAAATTAGATAAGTAATTAAATTATTAGATAGGTACTCTAATAGGCTTTAGATTACTCATCCCAATTACAGATCAATTTGCAGAAAATGAATTATTATTTTATAAATCTGCCGTATTTTGGTCATGACTTTTTGGCGTGTGGGTTTTTTGTATGTTATATTTCTACCAGTAAAATCACAGTCTTTTACATTAAAAACTGTATTTTGCTATGGTTCTAAACCTATAAACATTCTATATTCAGGTCCCACAGATCAGTGTTGCCACTTGTATTTCTGCCAAAAATTCCCAGAAGCATTCTAATTTTATCAAAATAGAGTGGCTGTCCGGAGGTTTCCCTCATGAGCAGTGTGAGGGGGGGAGATTGTTCTGAACTCTAAGCCTTGTATTCTAAGTCATATGAATGTGTTGGGTTTCATCTTTATTAATTCATTGGGGAATAAAGAAAACTAGATCTAATAAGATATTTCTATAATTGCTTCTTTTGGGATGTGATTTCTGAAAATTCTTAACAAGCTGAAGAGCCAAGAAATTTATTTAGAAATAAGCTATTTAAAAATTACTGCAAAGTTCAGAGAGAGAAAAAAAAAAAAGTAATCTATTGAAGGCTGCTAAATACTCAGGTGCCCTCTCAGGCTTAAGAATTCCCTCACCCGGAGGTTGCAAGGGTATTGTGAAGAAGTATTACTGTGTGTTTCTCCTGTCCTTATACTTTTCCCTGTATATCCAGCACTGGCTAAAGTAGCTTTTTTATTACTATTGCTCTTTAATTTTAGCTGAGATTAAATCTCAGGGAAGGGAAAGAATGTTCTTACTGCATTAATATGCTAAGGTCTTTGCAACTGGTTCATTTTTAATACAAACAGCACTAGAATATATTGGTATCACTGATTGAAGGGTAAGAGAGGAGTGAAGTAGTGTTCAAGAGCTGCTATGGTGCTGTGCTCTGCATGCAGTGTGCTGTTAAAGTAGGTATATTTTTTTCTGTGAAACTAATACATCAGCCTGGTTCAGTGGCAATGGCTGCAATTCTTAGTGAGTTCTAAAGGTGCTCATCAGAGATATTTGATGAAATTTTACTTGTCCTGTGCTTCATCCTTGAAAACAATTGTCACAAATGCACGTACTGCCTGAAAGCAATGGCAGGAATAAGGTGTGGTTGTGAAGGGATATCTTTCTCTTATGAAAGTCTAGTAGAGAAATGTGATCATATTTTTCTGTAAGTTAAATATGTCCATGCATTTGCAACCCTGTGAGCCATTTTTCCTCTTCATGTTCTGGCACAAATTTCCATTTTGATTCCATAAATGATTTGGTTTCATGTTGCAGGTCATAAAATCTTTTTAGCATTTTACCCTGACTAAGACACCTTACTTCAGAAAAGTGAATAAATGTTCCCATAATTGGCATCCATACTTTAAAAAAAGGCTGCTGGAAATGGTGGCAATTCAGTCCTTTGAACTTTATGAAATTCACAGCTTTGATGACAATTTGCAAACATTACCAGTTTTTAAAGTAAATGTTCTTGATTTACACTGCAGTGATAATTCACTGGATGTTTTCCCAGCCATCACTGAAGTGCCACAGGTACACACACAGGTAGTTAAGTTGAATTATTATTATCAGCAACCACTGTGTTTTACTCACCAAGACCACAAATGCATGTGATGTGTCATGCACACAGGTTTTGATTTGACTGTGTGTGTGTGGCAGGTGCAAGAGGGAGAATCAGTGCTGCACTGTGCCCTCCCTCCCACTGCATTCCATTCGTGTAGTCCACTCTTGAGCTACTCACAATCAACTCATGAAAAATATCACTAAAAATCATGTAATAAGGCTTAAAAGTTTACCATCTTGTGAGGTTGCATTACTAGCTGTCCAGGATCATGTGCTGCCTGCAGGCTGTGGGGTCTAGCATGTAAATATTTCTCTATGTGGTAAATTTTCTGCTGCTTTCTGAGAACGCTCAGAGATTAAACACTTCCAGTGCTTTTCAACCCAGCAAAAAATTTTGCTCTCTTTCTGTTGCCACACTGTGATCTGGCTAGGCCAGGCTGTTGGTGACTGCCTACCAAGGGCTGTGACCTCCTGTCACATTTTAATTTTGGAGAACAGTAATTTCCTAGCCTCAGGTGCTGGGCTAAAGTCATTACTCTCTGTGAGCTTACAGAGCACCTGACGTGAGATGGCTGGTGGCAGAGGCTGTTGGTAGTCCGAGGTTTGGGAAATGGTAGGGCAGCTGGAGCTGTTTGGGGTTCTGGGGCAGTTGTTCCTGGGAGACTGGTGGGATCTGTGTGCATGTTCTATTCTGCTGGAGAAGCCCTTGGAGTCTCCCTAATATAAATCGCGTGTTTGTCTTCACCCATGCCGTTATCCTCATCAGTGAGATTGCCAGCTGTTTAGTGAATTCAGTTGCAGAGCTCTTGGGATGGGCATTCTGTGGTTGCCAAGCTGTGCAGAGGACTCTCTTAATTTATGCTGATAGTTTTATTTTTCCAGTATGTTGAACTGATGCCTTCTCAGTACTTCTGGAGGAACAAGAGTAGAAACTAAACATACAGTTCATTACTTTGCTTATAGACTGTTCAAAATTCTTAGAAAGTTGGATATAACTTATGTCTAATAGATCAGTTTTTCTGGTCCATTAAAGCTAAAATAGCCTAAACATCAATCAGAGGCAGCTGGTGGTGGTGAGTTATTCTTCCAGTTCTGGAGAAGTCTGTGCTGGCAGAAAGCTGCACAGCTTACTTCACCTAATCTTGTGCTTCAGAGAGGAAAAAAGGGCCATTTCTTAGATGAGGAAGGGAAAAGAGTGCTTATTTTGATGAATGGTCCTTCAGAGTGCTAGCTTGGGTTTACAACAGTGTAATTCTGAATAATTGTATCAGTACCATCTGATTCTGTCTCATTCTTGCTCCTGGGAGTGGCATGTATATTTTATAATTTCCTTTTTACATTTGTTTAGCTCCTGTGAGGGTTCTTTAAATTAGTTGATTGAGGTGATTGTTGTGATACAGCACTTTATCTTAAATCTCTCTTTTTTTTTTTTTTTTCAAAGACTTGTTCATGAGTATTAAAAAACAAGTGTTATTCAGAGTTCTGTTTTTTCCAACCTAATTGTAGGCATGTCCAAAGTAAAAGGAGGACCAGAGGTGGTAACACTGGTCTGTTCCTTATGATCACCTCACAGACAGGGACAAAGACAAAGCTGAGAAGTGTCCTCAACACTGTCTTCAACACTGATGACAGGCTGTAGCACTTTTGAATCCCCGAGCTGGAGAGCTGTGAATGCAGTAACAGTAGATTTCCAACCATCCCTGAGCTTGTGCAGAATTTGTGGCTCCAGTTGGATGTGTATAGGTCTGGGACACAGTGGGATTCATCCCAGGGTACTCAGAGAGCTGACTGATGTCACTGTGGGACATCTCTCAATTATTTTTCAACAGCCTTGGCAATCTGTAGAGGTCCTAGTCAACTGGAAGCTAGCAAACATTGTTCCTGTTTTCAGGAAAGGCAAGAAAGAATACCCTGCTCAAAACAGCCCTGTCAGTCTCACATCAGTGCCTGACAGAATTATGGTGAGTTATTGTAGAACACCCAAAAGACAACGCAGTCATTGGTTACAGCTAACACAGATGCACAGGGATAAACTCTGTGGTCTTAGTTTCTTTTTACAACAAGGCTGCCCATCTGGTTGACCAAGGGAAGCCAGCTGACGTAATCTTTTTAGATTCCAGCAAAACTTTGGATACTGTTTCTCCCA